ATAATAAAAAAGGGTAAGTCACAATTTGAAAAGTTAATTTTCAAATAAGTTTTAAATTATTCATATTAAATCGTCGTAAAAACCTAGGCAGCAGTTGTATTTGGTGCAAAATGGTGTTAGGTTTAAAAATTTTAAGGTTATGTGAGGTTAAGTTAGGTTCGAAATATCCTAAAATATACATAGATATATATTTCAACACAAATAACAGAATGAAATAATAGGTATTTAGCAGTATTTGAACAAATACCTATAAAAATATATTCAAATTCAGAAGTAAAAGGTAACAGAATTACAATAAAATAAAAGAGAAAAGTGGGTTAAAATCATCATTCTACTGGATGAAGGAATATGACAAGTCTAGACCCTTATATCTTAAAGTATCACTGCATTTGTAGCATTTTTGGATGCATTAATCTTCAGACGGACGGATGATTCGGACGAACGAATGGTTCGCACGAATTTTTTTTTCAAATTTGTTTCAATTCAATAAAGAACTAAATTATTACTGGACTCACATCCAATAATCGTAGGTTTCAACAATACTAAAAGATCCATATTTATGACAGAGATCTTAGTTGTATTTGATAACTTGACATAAAATGTTCAAAACTGGACTAGATCATTCCAAGAGTTAACCAAAAAACATTTCTAGTAATGTGTTACAAAAAAGTCTTTTGGTTTGGATAATCCACTTTGTTAACCCCTTGTGGTAGATATATAGAAAATATGGACAAGTAAATCTGTAGAGATGAGGTTTTATGTTATTTATGCGCTTACAGTGACTGTAGTTGTTCAAAAACAACTCTGCACATAGCTCTGGTTCCTAGTAACAGTTTTTATACTTATCATCGCTGTGTTCTGTAATGGTATTTTTTGTATAATTGTCATCTACTCAGTATTTTTCCAAATAAACTCCAATTGATAATTGAAACCTTCACCTTGAAAAGATGAAAGACAAACTTTATCCTATGCTATCCTAACAAATCGTATGCTCCCTTTAATGTAAAATTCATACTATTTACATACATATACACTTCATACTATGTAACAGATTAGTCTCATCTACTATTCTTAGTTTTTTCGGAACCAGGAGACTCCTCAGTTTTCATAATTTTCTGTAATCAGTTTTGCTGCATCGGTGGTAGTTTTGAATACACTAATCTTAAATAATTATTTTTCATCGTCTATAAGCTATTTTCATCAGAAAAATTAAAGAATATATATACAAATAAACTAAACTTATCATTCCACGAACTAAAAATTGCCTTTTTCCAGTACTGTGGATCAATGGAATCTAAAACTGGGCTAGAATCCAAAGATTCTTGGGTTCAACAATAATAAGTTGTCTTTTTCCATCATTTATATCCTATTTAAGATCCAAGTACTAAAAGAAGAATAGTAGATCTCTATTAAATGTGTGATGAGCTCACAGTAACTGCTCGAGTTGTACGAAAACAACAACACACATGGTATTCTTAGCAACTCTTTTAATTTTTGGTGTTCTAGTTGAAATAGATCAATCTAATCATTTTTTTAACTGCTTGGCAATATTCCTTTTCATCATGTGACAAGCGCATGCGTAAATGCATGTTGAAACAATGTTTCGTACTGTTTTATACAAAATTCTATCTCACAAAAAAATTGTGATGAAAAGGCCAATGTTACAAAGGTGAGAAGGCATTGTTTAACTGAGTTACTTTAAGCTCTACTGGTTTTTCTGAGGTTCAACTACTTTTGGCGAAGTTACAACTTTTTTTAGACAACAAGTTTTGCCTGATTATTCGATATTTTTCAAGATTTATCGCCCAATGAAGCGATAGTGACATTGTGAAGATTATCGTGAGAACAAACTGACGTCTAATCATTCTTCAGATAGCCGAAGAGAGCAACACTTAATTTAGTTCTTGCCACGACATTTTAACTCAAAACCTGAACATTTAAGTGTGGCTATAAATTTTTTTGCGAACCGTCCAGAAGATACTGGAGCCGTGACGAAGTGGATATTGAATGCTTCACCACGACAATGTAATAGTTTATTCGCGATTTCTGTGGAAAAACGACATGGCTGTCATTCATCAGCCACCTTACTCAACAGACCTAACTTCTACTGACTTTTTAGGTTTCCCAAACTTAGAAGATTTTCGAATCTTTGACTGGATTAAAAGCTTCAAAAATCGCTAAAATAGCTAAACAATGTTTTGCAAGAAAACTTCTCTGTACTGGAAACAACGTTGGGAGAAAAACGTTGCTAAGGAGCGTTCTTTGCAGGGGATGACGTTGAATAATTAATAAAATTATTACGAATATGCTTGTGTAACGCCTCTGTGTACTCTGTATAAAGAAACTAGAACACCTTAAAATTAACCAAAAGACCAGAAACATGTATAGGTACGAATAAAAATAAGAATCAATGGACTTTATTAACTGACACGGAAATAGATGAGGTCACTTGGTGTTTTGGAGTAGTTTTGGACAGTAATTATGAAAATGTCGTTTTAAAAGCCTATTTAAGTGACATACAGTTTTTAAGTATTATTCCAGAACTTTTTGAACAGCCCTCGTAACTATGTTACGTGCCTCAAGGGGCGATCAAAAGGCACCTAATTAAATATTTTCAGTATAAAGAAGTATGTCAGGTAAAGTATGTTTATAGTCTTACTAATATAATGGAGAACTACTGCCGAAAACAATACTGGGATAGGAATATAACAAATTAAATATTGAAATAATGTAAAATTCAATTAGGTTTCAGGTTTTACAATGACACCTGTCAATGTCAAAAATGTCAAACTGTGAGATCATATTTTTCTTGAACGAAAAACCTTATTTAAATATCAAATATTTCAACTGCTGCCTTGATTTTTCGTCAATATTCCAAAAATTTGTTCAAGCTCTAATACTAATGCAAAAAATATACAAAATACATAAATATATTCACAGTTCTGAACGATCGTCAAATAAAAACTATCAAACTAAAATTAAATATATCGATCACTCTTCTACAGCTACCTACCGACTGAAGAATTATAATATAAAAATAGGAAAATAACGTTTCATCCATAAGAAAATTACTTTCGCGGTTTTATATAAGGCAAGATTATTGCTTTTCAGAATATATTTATTTGTTGTTGCTTACAATACGCCATCTACCGAATAAATGTTGAAAAAATACTTTTTACATAGCCAAATTAAAATTGGACTAATAAAAATAAAAAAATCATGTTCTTGAGTGTGAATCTGACTTAATCTAGTATTCAATATTTTGTAAATTTACTTAAAAGATTGGTATTACAAAATTTAAGAAATCACTTCAATTTTATTCGCTAATAAATACGTGCATTACGAATTATTAAATAGGAGACAATGTCTGTTTGCAAATACTGCAAAATGTATTTATTTGTGTAACAAGTAGGTCAAGTAAACGGCAAACAAAAATTCATTTTATATGTTATGGCAAAATAAAAACAGAACAACCCTTGATAACGTCAATCACACTGAACTAAATCAACTTGTTGAACTTATGCTGGAACCAAATAACCCAAATTTCACTCATATGTACTAAAAGTGGTCGAACAAGGTTATATACTGTTTCCACTTCTTTTTTATGTTTATTCGGAAGCCATTTTTCAAGGAATCTTATAATATGTCGACAAGAATATCAAGTCAACGAGTACTTGACTAAAAACATCAGGTATGCCGAAGATAAGGTGATAATCACGACTTATTGACCGAAAATGTTGAACCAGATTTCCTAAAAAGTTGTTCAGAATATCTAGGAAGACTGTGGTTATAAAATAAGTCCTCAAAAAGACTAAATTCTCTAGAGAACTATTTGACACATCTAAAAATTGACAGGTTATACTGGAAGTGTCGAAATACAAGCTCCTAAGGTGATAAATATTTAGTGTTCGTGGTAACTCATATAAGAAATAGCTGCAAGTACCTGGTCCTCGGTACAATAATAAAAGTTTTAAAAATATAACTGCACATTCACACTCGGCATACATGATTTTAGCTGCGCAATAAGGCATAAGTGTGTCTATTTACATCTCTCCAAAAATTATAATAAAAGTTGATTATTTAAAAATAAAAATTAAATATTAACTACACTTATCTTCATCGGTTTGACATAGAGCTAAATCTAGGTCAACGAATAGAATCGTTATATTTTGCAACAAAACATTTTTGGGTAAATAGCGTATTGTGACGTTTATTTGAGCGGAAATATGATACAAAAATCTTTTTTCTCGATATATAGCTTCGTTGTAGATTGTAAACCTGGAATTCCATCAATCTCCAATTTTGGTCCAGCAGACAAGAAAATATAATTTTTAAATAAAGCGAAGCCTGCATAAAAGTTTATGCTGTAATGACTTTTTGCATATGAAGTGGACACTGTAAAAATATTGTTTTTCACGCGGTGTTTGTTTAAAAAATGAATTTGAATTAAATAAGTTAATATCATCTTTGTTATAAAATTAAATCTAAACAAGGCTATTATAAAAACCAAAATAAAAAACATATTTAAAAAAGAATATTTATATTTTAACACTTTAACTGCCACGTAAATTCAGAGTAAAATTTTGTACTTGGTCTCCTGGGTCAAAATATTTTTTTCTTCCTAATTACTCTGTTTGTGTTTGTTTTTAGAGAAAATCATAAAATCAGATTTGTTTTTTGGTTATTTTTGAAAAAATTGCTGTCTCCTCATATGGTGCACACGGCCTCCGATTGTGAAATTGTTACTAATGTCTAGTTGCAGGCCATGTGCACCACAGATGGACACTAAAGGTCAAATAGTCTGTTGTCTGTTCAGGAAGAGAGTGACACGTGTCACACGTGTAAGATGTTTAGTTTGTTATTTAACTCCAATGGGAGCGTATCGTCCACTTCACAGTTGAAAAAAGTTAATATGGCTCACAATACCAACAACTCCGTTATTTAGAGTTGGAATTAGAAGCAGAAAAGTCTGCCGGTGAGTTAGAGGTATAGTTTAGAACATGAGTGATGATTGTTCTGATTATTCGGATTCAGATTTTGATCCTACATGTAATATAGATGCAGCGTTGACGAGTGAATCCGACAATGAACCTGTAGCGAAAAAAGAACATTTTGAGAAAAGGTTTGTTCACTAAAATCTTAAATAAAATTTTAGTTTGTATAATCCGATTTTTTTTTACTATAAGATTGACTTCACACAAATGAATTTACGTTTGTTTTACGTATTATAAAAATATCATTTAAATTGACATAAAATATTGATTTGTACATAGATAGAGTAAGCATTATCTGAAAATGGACTAATATATGGATATTTTTTTGTAAGAGATGTAAAATCTAATACTTCTGCAAGACCATCCCGTGTTCAGTCATCTCGAGTAATGAAGGAAGAATCAGACAGTTCTTTGACTCAAGATGATGACTTTTTGGCAGATACTGTTAGGCCAGAAGAAAATTCTTTACAAGATTCAAACTGGGGACCTGTTTCCGGAAATTTTCTAATTTTCTATTGTCCTTTGAACTTTGGCATTCCTGAACATTTGAAAAACGAAATGGCTGATAAGAATGAACCGTTATTCTTTGAACTGTGTTTTTCTGAAGATGTCATAAATATGATTGTCCTCGAAATAAATAGGTATGCAGAGCAACAAATTCTTACTGGAATAGTAAATGAAACAATTACGAAAGACGTTTCAATTATTGGAAAGAGACGAACTACACTGAATTGCGTACATTCATAGCGCTCTTTTGAAATGAACGCTAATTTTCATTGATGTATAATTCCACGCCCAACTGTTTGCAATGAAGAAACTATGATCCCATTTGGATGCAAGTTGTCTCTGTCACTGTCTTTTCGACAGTAAGTGAAAAGAAAACGTCATCAGTTTGGAATAAAGCTGATTAAAATTTGTTTTTTAGAAGGCTATACCCATACAATTAAAATATATTGGGGTAAAGAAAAAATTAATGGACAACTGGTTGCTGAAAGGTTAATTATGGAAATGATGATTAAACCTTTATTGGACCAGGGTAGAACTCTTATTACGAATAACTGGTATACATCGTTTAACCTTGTTTACATTTTAAAATTAGATCCACTCATTTTATTGGAACATCTTCCCAAAGATGTTGTAGAAGCCAAACTCAAGAAATGGGAGATCATTGCCAAACAAAACAAAAATGATATTGTAGTTATGAAATGGCATGACAAGAGAGACGTACTTTTTCTGTCTACAAAACATAGAGACGATATGATAGAAGTTACGCATACGGAAGGTCCTAAAAGAAAACCTGCAGCCATTGTAGAGTACAACAACGCAAAAGCGTTTGTGGATATGTAAGATCAAAAGACAACTTACTTAAACTGCTTACGAAAGTCTGTCAAATGGTACAGAAAAGTGGCATTACTGGTACTTGTCTGGTGAATGCTCTAATTATTTTCAATAACATCTACCAAAGCAAAATGTCAGTTACAAAATTCAAAGAAAATGTGTGCATGCAACTTGTTCAATGTAGTAATCTACCCGTTCCGGTACAAGTTCAAATCAAACATGAACTTACTCAAAATGCTTTAAATAAAAGAGGCAAATGTACGATTTGTTACAAAAAGAACTTCATGGTCGAATTTATGCTGTAAAAAAACACAAAACAAGTAAGATGTGTATGCAACGGATGTGAAGACAGCCCTTTTATGTGTTTAGAATGTTTCTTTCCAACCATGTTTTCACAAAAAAATAATTAAAACATTACAACAAAACTGACTCTCAGTACTTAATTTTCTAGTTAAAAAATACTACATTATATGTTACTTTTGATTATATAATATGCTGTACTATCATAAAAATAAAAAAAAAGTTGATGCATATTTAATTTTCATTACCCCTTATATCTTTAAAAAATAAAAAATCCCAGGATATTTTTAAATGTCATGGTTTTACTCCAGACTCAATGAGATTCCTATTTAAATACACGGTAAATGTGTACTATCCACAGACACATGTTCCTGTGTCCATTATATGTACACATGGCAGAGAATTAAAATTCCCTCTGTACTTATATGGTACACATGGCAGTTAAAGTGTTAAAAAAGATATGTCATCAATGGCGGTAACTGTGTCGTCCTCTGGTGGCGAAAATATGAATTCATACTTTAAAATTCTAACCTTTCAAATTAATTTCTTGCCTACTAAACCACTAAGTTACAATTTTCCTGTTTGTTATAAATTTGTGTAGCCCAAATTAATAAATATTGGACAGTCATGATCTTTTAAAACAGTCTAACTCTTGTCATGGAGATTCTTAGACGAGATTGAAAGAATACAAAAGAGTTTTGTTTTAACAGCTCGTCTCCAAGGGTACTGTTTTGGTAGTTCCGTTTGTTATGACACTGTTAGTGTTAGTCAGCGTATCACCCATAGATGGCGGTCCTTGGGAACTGGTTGAATGATGATGTGTCGTTCCTGCGGCTCCGTTTTGTTTGTGCTTTCTGAGACACCAGAAACGTTTTACAGCTGACAAAACCTAAAAACCAAACAAAATGTTATTTGAAATGTACTTAACATTATCGGTATTTAAATATTTTTTCAGTATATTTATAACACGCCTGTCTAATTTAATTATAAATAAAGAAAATCCAAGTTAAATATTGTGTTTACATGGGATTAAGCCAAAATTTATTGCAATGAAAACTTGATGTTTCGATTTTCACTCCGGAAATTCGTTTTCAAAAAGGCCATTAAGAATTTTGTTAAAAAGGGTGTATTTTAAAGATAGTGTTTTTCAGTTTTTCATGTTATCAATGTAAACAATGTGCCGCGTTTCTCAATGGAGACCTTAGAAAAACTTTAGGGGTGTTATGTGGACTCGGGAACTAGTCCACATGAGAAATGAATTAAGAATAAAAGTGTAAGTGATACATGTGATATTCTAGTTGCTAACAAAAACACAGCTAAGTAAAGTGTTCAGATGATTTGTATTTAACAATGTTGTTGGTGAGATAATTTAATATTGTAATTCAAAATGCCAGTTAGTTGTGTCCGAACTTACAACTAACCTTTTATCTGTCAGCAAATTATGTAATAAAGAATGGAAATTCAGTTAAATTTGAAAATTATTGTTGCAAAGTATTTAACAAAGCCGTAAAATAGTTTTCGAAACCAATTCAGATTTCTGCTTTTAATCTGAACCTTCTAAAAATTGCAAGGTAAACAGACGTTGATAAAGATGTTAAAAGACACATGGGGAATCTAAAATTTGCATTCCACGACATGTCTCAATCAACTAAGCAGAAATCCTTAGCGAATTGGTTTCTTGTACTCATACATAGTAGATCCGAATAAAAATGAAAAAAGTCTATGTATCTGTTTATGCGCATTTCGGCTTAATAGGCCTCATCAGAACAGTATTCATAGGCGTTTTCAACGTGAAAAATCAATATTTTCTGTCTTTAAGAAGCAACATTAAAATGGCTTCGATTGATCGATGAATTGGTTTCGAAAACTATTTTACGGAAGTATTATCAGATGTCGCTATTGCGTCCATATCCAAGCCATTTTAATGTTGCTTCTTAAAGACAGAAAAGATTGATTTTTCACGTTGAGAACGCCTATGAATAGCTGTTCTGAAGCCAAACCAAATCTTCAATGGAAATATTTAAGAATTTAAAGTTGCTTCTCACCCACCACTAAGGGGGTGCGGTGAGGGGTCGTCTTTAGTGTAATTCGATAGATTTTCAAACATTTTGAACATGTGTTTTTCAGTTTTTCGATTTAATGTAAATAATTTCGCAAAATATTCGATTATACCGCTTCTTTTGGCATACCTGGTATAATAGATAAAATTGGCAAATCTCCATTATATTAAATATATATGTAGACTTCTAGCAAAATGCGATATTTTATCAAAAAATATCCATAATCAGTTATCATTAGTAAAATTTTAACTTTCTTTAATTCTAGAAAAAAAACTTCCTTAATATTTTATAAATCACTGCATCATTTATATAACATCTATTAAAAAAAAAACAACGTACCTGAGGCTGGCATCCAATAACGATAAAGATAAAAACACCGTGGATGCTGTTGATTATATCAGTGAGGTACCATATCTCTTGAGGACCACCGACAGCAAATGAGATCAAATCGGCTATCCACGTCACTCCCATGACCACTACCAATTTCAAGCACACTCTTCCCAGTGCGGCCCTAAAAGATTGAAAGTTAAATAAATACAGTACCAAATTAATTCATAAAGTTAAAAGCCTAAAAAGTTAAAAAAATCATAAAAAAAAATTATCATTTAAGTCCGAATTGTATAAAAACCGCAGGTGATGCAAATTATGATCTATCTTCAAAGTAGTAGATTTTAGATTATGCCTCCTAAACAATGAGCTTTTAGTAAAGTGTTTGCACACTTATGCAGGAACAGTAGCCACTGCTTTTGACAAAAAAAGTGGTGGCCACTGTTCCTACATACGTTTGTAAAAAACAGTGGTCATTGTTCTTTCTTCAAAAAATATCAAAAATAATTTTGTTTTGGATAATAATATGCCACGGAAAAATACCAAAAAATCCCGGTATTGGAAAAACTACAGATGAAAATATGAGAAAGGCGATTTATTATATTTGGGAAGTGGATTATCACAAAAGGCTGCTGCTTTAAAATACGACATTCCACTCACTACGTTTAGGAGATATTTTAAAAAGTGACCCCAAGATTGACCCCAAATTATGGTATCAATCAAATTTTATCTGCAACCAAGGAAAAAGAACTGAGTAATTATTTACAGATGATGACCAAGCTTCATGATGGTCTCAATCCGAAAGGTGCCAGACAACAAGCTTATGATTTGGCAATTGCTAACAGGAAAAAATACCAACTTTAGGGGAAGAAAACAAGATGGCAGGCAAGTTTTATGAAGCGAAATTCAGAATTATCATTACGATCAGCAGAAGCAACTTCACTAGGTAGGGCAAGGGGGTTTAATCGAACAATCGTTGCAAATTTTTACGAAACAGCACTAACAACTGTGCAAGATACAGGAAAAGCAATAGCCAAAAAGGGACAGAAACAAGTAGGCCATATAGTTTCAAATGAAAGAGGTACTTTGCTAACCATGTGCAATGCAATAAACGCTATAGGTAATTTGATTCCGCCGTTTTTAGTACTCCCTTGGAAATTTTTTAAAGATTATATGGTTAAAAACGCACCTCCAGGCCGCCAGGGGTATGGTGCACCAACTGGATGGATGACAGCAGAATTATTTGAACAGTTGATGATACATTTTGTCAAACATACTAATCCTACAAAGGAATCTCTAATTTTACTAATCATGGACAACCATGAGAGCCATGTTTCTTTAGCATCTATTAAATTTGCAAAAGAAAATAATATAATCTTGTTGACTTTGCCGCCACATACTAGTCATCGCCTTCAGCCACTAGATAAAGCTGTATTTGGTCCTCTGAAGAAATATTACTCACATGGATGTTAAAATTGGTTATTGAAAAATCCTGAAAAGAGGATAAAAACTTATGACATAGCAGAGATTTTGAGCGACGTTTATCCACTTGCTTTCTGTCTAAAAAATGTGGTATCAGCTTTTAGTTCAACATATTGTCATACAGACAATGTTGA